TTTTTATGTATTTATGAATAGGAACCACCCAAACCTCTTGCAATTATCAATATCTTCCATTGTTTGCAATTATCAATATCTCGCATTATTAGCAATTATCAATATCTTCCATTATTAGCAATCTGTTTGGAGGGCATTTATGCAGGAAGTTTGTACTTCTGGTGTGGCTCTGTAAGATAAGCACTGGACTGAGAATGAGAACCACAAAGTCAGCAGTTCAAACCCATCACTAGCCACTTCTCAGAAACACTGAGTCAAAACCGACTCAATGGCACTTAACCAAAACTACAACATGCAGGAAGTTTGCAGAGCAGAGTCTATTCAGATTATGAAAACATGGGAGACAGAATCTCAGAAAGTGACCCAGAGCCGGATGTTTGTACAGCAAGAGTTATATTAGACTTCCCAGAATCATCCTGCCATAAAACAATGTAGTATATCAATAATTCCAACCTGAAGGCTGTGAAGTTATCGTACGGGCTCCTAATATCCACTTGCACAGCAAGAAATATCAGTGGACTAAATAAGTAAACTCCTTCACTACCAATTTACTAATGATTTTCAAATGTATATAATATATAGGTACTGTTGTTATCAACAAAACAAAATCAAAGGTTGGTAAATATTGATTGATAAATTCAAAGCAGTTATTGGCCATGATACATTTCTGATTCAATGACCATTCCAAAAGTGCATTATTCTCACAGGAAGTTCTTAACCACCTCATCTGTTCTCCTGAGGAGCTGCTGAGTGGGTTTGGACAGTCAGCCTTTCAGTCGGCAGGCTATAGAGCTGGAACTCAACAGGACTGCCTTGTTTCAATGGGTCCTGCAAGTTTTCTGCCCATGACAGTGTGCTGTCTTATCACTTTTCTGTTGCTTACTTTGATCAAAAATATTTTAGTTTTCCTTCTCTGATAGGTTTCTGCTTTATAAAGGTTCCAGTTTTCACATATTTTACTATATACAAGGGGACTTCAAAAAGTACATGGGAAAGTGAAATTAAAAGATTATGGGGAAAAGAGAGACAACAGCATTTTTCCATGAACCTTTTGAAGCCCACTTGTGTGTGTGTGTGTATTGTTGTTGTTGTTAAGTGCCGTTGTGTTGGTTCCAACCCATAGCAACCCTGTATAGGGTTTCCAAGGAGTGGCTGGTGAGATTGAAGCAATGACCTTGTGGTTCAAACCAACTTTGAAGTACAGCACATTGACCCATAATGCCACACCAAGACTCTCTCTATATACATACATTCATATATATACATACATTCATATATATATACATACATATATGCACTACTATGTATGTATCAATATAATTTCTATATAAATCTGTATCTATTGTTTTTGTTGTTAACTGCCAACTCATAGCAACCCTGTATAGGGTTTTTGAGGTTGTAAACCTTTTTGGGAGCAGAAAGCCTCATTTATTAATAACATTTCTATTGTTTTTAAGTGCTGTCAAATCAATTCTGACTCAAAACAACCCTGTATAGGGTTTCCAAGGAGTGGCTGGTGGGTTTGAACTGCTAACCTCATGGTTAGTTTGTGGTTAATAGTCCAGTGAGCATCCTACAATGCCAACACCAGGACTCCAATATATCTATTATTGATTTATATAGAGATAATAGATATAATGCAGTCCTGGTGTGGTGCTGTAGGATAAGCACTGGATTGCTTACCAACTCAACAGTACTTAACAACAACACAACAACGTCTATATGAGGGAGCCTTGGTAGTGTAGTGGATTATGAACTAGGCTACTATATACAAGGCCAGCAGTTCAAATCTACCAGTTGCTCCACGAGAGAGAGTGATGAAACTTTCTGCTCCCATAAAGATTTACAGCCTCGGAAACCCTATGTAGGGTTTCTATGAGTCAGAACTGACTCAATGGGTGGTACACAAATTTCCACATCTTTATATCATATGGATCTGTATCTATATAGAGATGATAGCTAGACACGCACACATTGTTGTATTTTCTTAGACAAATCCTGTGATAGGTAACTTTTACTCCAATCTCATGTGCTCAACTTCAGTGGAATCTCATTTTCTGTTTTATCTTGCTGTTTTGACACAATCTGAAGACCCTGAAGAATGTTAATTCATTTTTGTTGTATTAAGTTTGTATTTATTTGTTTTCCATATCAGATTTGCCATGGAGAAGATATCAGTATCAGCATTCTTGCTGCTTGTAGCCCTCTCTTATAGTCTAGCCAAAGATACTACAGTCAAACCTGGAGCTAAAAAGGACACAAAGGACTCTCGACCCAAACTGCCACAGACTCTCTCCAGAGGTAGGAATCAGCTTCATGTTGCTTTCCAGTCCCTGATTAGTTGGGAAAGATGTCAGCATGGAGACTTGTGTGATGAATATATTTTGGTACCTGTTCTTCCAGATTTATCATAGTTTATTAGTTCTTTCTACTTTCTCCAGAGGTTTTTCTTCTGTAGTGTTAAGTGTATTTTTATCCCAGTTTTTACTGTTGTTTTTTAATAACTTTGGGTCTGACACTGTAATAGCTTTAAATATGCTGTTCATTTTGTTCTAGGTTGGGGTGATCAACTCATCTGGACTCAGACATACGAAGAAGCTTTATACAAATCTAAGACAAGGTAAAGACAAGGATTACACAGAATTCTTGTCAAAGCTCCCAATAGCACCATCTAGTGCTTCTTAACTATACATGAAATTCTACTCATTAAAAATTATTCACTACTCATTAAAAATTATTCAATTTCTTTTTTCTTAAAGCAACAAACCCTTGATGATTATTCATCACTTGGATGAATGCCCACACAGTCAAGGTAAATTCTTCTTCAAAATACGATTCTCTTTTCTAGGTTTTTAGGTTTAAGAGAAGAGTTCATATCACTCATCTTTGTGATACAATGGTGAATAAGAAATAATAATTTATGTAGTAAAATATATTTTTAAATAGTTTCAGATGTATCCAAGCTTTTTTTTTTTTTTTTCAATTAACCATTCATGCATATTTTGAAAAACAAGCTCTAGGATTTATTCTTAACTTCTTTCTTTTTTTTATGTTCCACATTGAATACATCAGGAAATCCTGGTGCTTTACCTTCAAAATATTATCATAAACCCAGTGTCAACTAAAGTCTCTAAACTCAAAAAGTCACCACGCTTAGTTTGTTGGTCTACTGTCACTCCTTTAAAAAAGTATTCAATTGTTGTTTAGTACCATAGGGTTGGTTCCAACTCATAGCTACCCTGTCTGATGACCTCAAACCACCAAGCTGTGGTTTGCAGTTCAGTACTTACCCTACAATGCCACCCTCCCTAATTTTTTCACTAGGGGCTTACATTTTCATTTTTTGCGAGGCCCTATAGCTGGTCTTGTCCACACTCAACCACTGACTAGTGCCTAGAATACTAAGTGATTTCCCGACAGTCAGATTCTCCACACAGAATCCAAAGTAAGATTTTGAAACATAAAGCCATTCCTATAAACTTGTGCTCAATGACTTCTCATCGCAGGTAAAATTAGATCCTAATCCCTGGCCATGGCTCTCCAGTCTGTGCATGATCTGACACTTGGCTACCCTTTCATTCCTGCTACTCTAGCCTTGCTTCTTCCATGCCACCTAGCCTGCACTTCATGCCACTCCTCAAACACCTGAGTTCATTCCCACATCTGCAGAAAGTGACCTACCCCTAAATCTTAGAATAAGTCACTCCCTCACACAATGCCACCACCTCAGTGAGGTCTTCACTGACTGCCTCATAGCTTCTAAACCCATCATTTTGTTTTGTTGGTATGTTGTTGTTTTTTCAGAGACATATCTCCAACCAGAAATTGTTGCTTTTTTGTTTTTCATTATATCCCCAATAAATAGGACAGTGCCTTCCACATAAGTGGAGTCCTGGTGTGGCATTGTGGGTTAATGCACTGGACTGCAAGGTCAGTTTGAACAGCAAGGTCAGTGGTTCAAGCTCACCAGTTGTTCCTCGGAAACCCTATATAGGATTGCTATGCATCAAAACTAACTCGATGGTACTTAACAACAACAACACATGAGTAGCCACTCAGTAAATATAGACTGAAAAACTAAATAGATTAATAAATGAATGACTGTAAAAAAGCAAAGAGTAAATGACATTGTTTTATGGCAAGAGCAAAGTAGAATATTGTATTAGAATATAGTTCAATTTACAATATAACATAACAATTTCAACCAATGACGATATACTTAATGATCTTTCATTTTATTGTAGCTTTAAAGAAAGTGTTTGCTGAAAACAAAGAAATCCAGAAACTGGCAGAGCAGTTTGTCCTCCTCAACCTAGTGGTGAGCTTACTGTCATTTCTCCGTGCCTCATTATATGAAATGGATGATTCAACTCATCTATTTCTGAACATCTTAATTGTACTGCATTAAATGGGATCTGTTCCAAATATCCCATCTCATAAATTGGAAAGAGAAAAGAGATTTCATTTTATTAATCTGCCTTGCATGTCTATGTTTATATTTAATGCTTAGTCATTTTAGGGTCTCTGAAAAATATCCCCTTATGATCAAGATTTTATTGCTGTAATAGAAAAGTTTTGTTTTTTGCAAATTACTGTACATGCACAAATGTCTTGGCTCATTCTTACTTGTCTCCTCTCTCCAAAATGGCAGCTGTCTGGCTGTCCACATTTATAACCGTAACTGACTTCAAAGCTTTTTTTCCTTCTAAGTTTTCTCTACTCAGTATAAAAGCAGGTTTTACTTTCCTTCTGAAAGCAAGCAAGAAAACAAACAGAATATAATTCGACTTCACCTTTTGTTCTCTGTTTCCTCCCTCTCTTTTCCCTCTTCCCTGTTTCTCTGTCTAGTTGTCCTCTTCACTGGTGGGCAATTCTTCCTTACTTCCTTCTACAGGCTCCTCCTCCTCTATTCTCCCTTTAATGTTAGTGACTTCGTGGATCTGTCCTTGATGTGCTTCTCTTTTTATGATTTATACCTTCTCTGGACAGATTTTTGTAAACCCGCAGTTAATCAATACTTGTACACTGGTAACTCCCAAACATTCAACATCATCTAAACTGTGTACTCAACCATGTTCCAGATATTCCATAATGAGCTTAAACTCAACATGTTCAACACTAAATGTATGATTTGGCTCCAGGTTTTTCAAATGGCTCTTTCTATACATCCTGCCTCACTAAAAATGATTCTATTCTAGATTACTAAGTGCTGTTGAATCAGTTCTGACTCATAGCAACCTTGTGTAGTTTCCAAGGAGCAGCAGGTGAGTTTGACCCACTGACCTCATTGTTCAAACTGACACTGTGGTACAGTGCTTACCCTACAGTGCCACAGCAGGACTTCCTATTCTAGTCTCCCCTAGTCACCTGCAATGGCCAATCAGTGAAGAGCCCTGTCCTTTCTAACTTTTAAAAAGCCCCCTTATTGATTACTTTCTGATGCACTCAGAACAACTAAGACATTTTTACTTTTGCCTAGTTTATTACAGTATTAGTCAATTAGTTCTTGACTCCATGATAAACCCCATATAATCCTCACATGGTTGTCAGGGCACATTGTCAAAGTTACCAGTGTGCAAGTATTGATTAACTGTGGGTATACAAAGAGCTGTCCAGAGAGAGTATAAATCATAAAAAGAGAAGTACATCAAAGACAGTTGGAATAATTCTACCTATTCTGATGGCACTTTGGTGACTCATATCTGTTTCTGAAGCAATAAAAACCCTGTGGCATGGCATACACGGCCATGAGCTGGCCTGAAACAGTTCTCCAGTATCTCCTATCACCTCAGCCCTTTCCAAGTACTTGATCCTACCCAAAAGTGCCAGGCACCTCCTCTCTGTACCAAATGACATGCTTCCTTTCCATTTCACTGGTCTCTATTGATTTTTTATTGATTCCTCTTAACTCACTTCAGAAATTCCTACTGGAACCCACAGACTGGGTTCAATGTTCTGGTCACCCACTGTACCTGAACATTCTCTATTATGAGTTTCACACACAGATGCCCAAAGTATTTCCAAATAGACTGTGCACTCTGTAAAGATAATCACTGTATCTTGCTAACTGAAAAAAATTTAAAACTAATAGATAAATGAATTTTTCCAAAAGTAACTTCTCTTTTTTTCATTAATTGATCTCATCCCTACCTCATCCAATATGTCCTCCCCAAATACTATGTAGCCCCAACACAAAACCCATTACAGAGTCAGTACCAACTTAATGACCCTGGAGGACAAAGAAGAACTGTCCCATAGGGCACCCAAGGTTGTCTAATAAGCATCTTTCTTCTATAGGACATTTGGTGGATTCAAACCACAGACCTCTTAGTTAGCATTCAAGAGCTTAACCACTGCACCACCAAGGCTCCTTCCAAACATTTTTGTGCTGTTATTAAATTCAGTCCAGTTGGTTCCAACTTGTAGTGACCCTGTATAACATTTCCAAGGCTGTAAATTTTTGTGGAAGCAGAAAGCCCATCTTGTTCTGCTGGAACGGCTAGTGGACTCAAGCCGCTGGCTTTGTGGTTAGCAACCCAGTGCTTATCCCACGGAGCCAGTGTATCCCACCCAAACACTATTGTTGTTAAATGTTGTCAAGTTGATTCTGACCCATAGCAACCCTGTATAGAGTCCAAAGAGTGACTGGTGAGCTTGAACCACAAACCTTGCGATTCAAACAACTTTGCAGTCTGGTGCACTAACCCAAACACTATAGTTCCTTGAACTTTTTGTTCTCTACCACATATATTCAACTCTTCACTTCACATTCTACTTCTTATTATTTCATGCATCTAACTGTCTCTCCATGTGTACTACAAATACTTTGTGGGAAAGATATGTCTTAAGGTGTCTTAAGGTGCCTGGTACAGCATTAGATGCTTTTCTGAATTAACAAATTTGAAAGTAATGAGAGTAAACAAACTAAAAGCATTTTTTTTTTTTATCTTAGTATGAAACAACCGACAAGCACCTTTCTCCTGATGGCCAGTATGTACCCAGGATCATGTTTGTTGGTAAGTGGATGAAACAATCGGATGAAACATCCACAGATACACAGCATTGCCATATCCCTTCCTCTGTCCCTCGTGGCCACTGCAACCACTAAGCTCTAACAAGGAAGATAACATTTCTTGAAGTTTCACAACATATTTTCATGCTCCTATTTCCATGGATGATATATTTTTCTCATCTTCTAATTCTAATTTTTCAATACCTGCCACTAATACACTTAAGAAGAACCCTGCTAATGCTCTAAATGTATTGATTATTTTTCTGAACACATCAGGTCTACATGTATTTATTTTTAATCAAGCAAAGTTTCAACTTGTTTCTCTTGGCATTTTTTATGCTTTTAGGAAAGTTAGAAACATGAGCTTGGGAAAAAGCCAGAGGCGCCATGCTCCCTTCTGTGGCTGACACTTGTCACGTTGTTCCTGTTGCTGGATAGCGTTTTCCTGCTTTTCTCTCCACCTCCAAGCATATTGTTAATTCAAGTATCACTGTCATTCATTGGCCCATGAAATCTTCTCCTAGATGATTTTGTGGCCCCCTGTTCTCTTGTTGGTAGCAGTTTCCTCATTTATAATTTTTCATGTATTGAGTAATTTAAAAATACTTGAAACTTAATGATATTCCATGGGAATATAGAGTCAGGAACCATAACTTTTTCTGATCACCATGATATTTCCATCATGACTCTTGGATTGGATGAATGAATTGAATTTGGCTTTGGTAAAAATCATGTTTTTTAAGGACAATCAATAATCTATCACATAGCAGAACTCATAATAATGAGGGTATTCACATATAAAATTCACCAATATTTCAAAGTATAACATGGAAAAGAAAAATATGTAAAAGGAAAAAAAGGAAGAAGGCTGAACTAAAGTACTGATTTTATAGATTTAGATTTGTCAAGATTTAGTGCATTTAATCAGCAACCAGGTGACATGGAGTTGATGCTGACTCAGGGCGATCACATGAACAGCTATTCCTTAGGGTCTTAAGTAGCTGATTTAGAATTCCAGGCCTCTCTTTCAAGTTGTCTCTGGGCGGACTTGAACCTCCAACCTTCCTGTTAGCAGCTGAGTGTGTTCCCCATTTGCACACATCCAGCTGCTTCTTTAGACTATCTAGAATGTTTAAATTAAAAGAGACTTTAGAGATCACCTGGTTATATTCTGTGCAGGAATTTTACAATTTCACAGGCAGAGACAATTTTAACCCACATTTCATACCATCAGTCAGAAGAACCAGCTCTGAGACAGCTTGTTCTTCATCCTGTTTACCCATTAGAATCAACTGGAGGATTTAAAATATAACGCCACCTAGACCACACCCCAAACCAATTAAATCATAATCTTGAGAGAAGGGGCAGGCATCAAGGCATCAGTATATTTTAAAGACTTTCCAGGTTATTCCAATGAGCAGCTAGGATTGTGAACCACAGGTTAGATGTTAAAGAGTATTTTCTTGTGTTGACTTATTACAGACTAACCTGTGTTTTTGTATTCTCTGCACCATAATAAGTATAGTAGGTCTTTAGGTGTTAAGTACTCATACATATTTGTCGAACAAATGCTTACTTATCGTAATATATATCTCAGTCCTCATCAAGCAAGCCTTCTGAAACATCGGAATTACCAACTATAGACTTTTCATACTTACCAACGGTTCTCACATGTCTTCATCTCGTTTCTAGGATACCTGTCTTAGACTCCTTCAGTCATCTCTTTCAAAAGCAAAATTTTTAGATTCCTCCAGTCTGATACATCTCCTTTAAATACAACTTATTTTTTTTAATTTTCTTCATTAATTTGATGATGTAAAGTTAAGCAAAACACATGAGAAAATATAATTGAAACAAAAGAAATGAATGTGTAGGTAAGGAAACTCTCGGTTTTTAAAGTGCAGCCAATTAAAAATCATGTAAAACAGAGAAAGGGACTATATGCTTATTTGCTCTTTGCTAGTCTTAAGGGCTTGCATTCACTTATTCATTAAAAAGCCTTTGTTTGGAAAAAGCAGCATTGGATGTGTGTTCCTAATCATCTAGGTTGCTCTTGGTAACACATTTCAACTAAAACAATCATTTTCAGAGTTTAAAATAATTCTGTAGTAGAGAGTGCCAAGATTTTCACCAAAAAATAAACCAAGCTCCTTCATCCCAATACATATTACTCTGTTGTCAAGTTGTTAGAGACAGGAGAACAGCAGGGCTCATAACACTTTCCACAAATAGCACCATTGTTCAGCTGTTGAATGTTCTCGGCCTGCTTAGGCTACTGGCTGCAAAGGCAGGGGAGCAGAGGGGATGCAGAACTTGAGGGAAGTATCTCAAAGTGTTCTTTTCGAGGACAAGGTTAGCTAGACTTTGTCCTACATTAGAGGGCTATTTGAAAACAAAGCATTCCATTTCCTTTTGCACTTTCTTTGCAGACCCATCCCTGACTGTGAGGGCTGACATCACTGGAAGATACTCAAATCGTCTCTATGCTTATGAGCCTTCAGATTCATCACTATGTAAGTTTACCTCCTTTGAACATTTCCATTGCTATAGTAATGGAATTAGAGACCACGTGGGGAGGTGAGACAAAACTCTGCTCAGGGACATCAGAGCATCAGTTTGACCCCAAGTAGCCTGTGTCCTTGGATAAATCATCCTTACTCTCCATCTCAGTTTTCTCATCTCAATTGAAGATGAATTATTTAATTAGGTATCTTTAAGAGAATGCTATGACCGTACATAAACATTAGCTGCCTTTTAAGCTGTCTCTAAGCCACAGAAACAGAATTTATTCTACCAAAAATTTGAGTGCAAAAGTTATAGTTGTCTTTATGTTCTAATTTCTTCCCAACAAGTAATAAAAGTGAAATAATTTAGTGCAACTTGAAATCAAATTCAAGTTTAGTTTTCAAAATCAATAGGATTTTAAGTAATAATTTATATATTATTTAATAATGTATTTCATAATAATAATTTCAAAATCAATAGGGTTTAAATAATTGCCCACTCATTTCCACACACATAGGCATAACAAACTCAATCTTAAGAGTGGACTCTGAATCAGAGATCCTATAGAACAGAGTAGAACTGACCACAGATTTCTTTATGGAAGAAGACTGCCACATCTGTCTTCTCTAGAGTAGCTGGAAGGTCCTAACAGCTGACCTTTGTTAGCCCCCTAGTGCGACTTAGGCAGAGAAAGTACCTAAATGTGACATCTGATTATTCTCCTGGGATAGGTTTCATTCTAGGAAGCATTTCAGTGATAGTGACTTCCTAGAACTGTGCTAATATGGTGTCTATTTGAATTTAGAGTTGTAAAATATGGTTCCTCAGTCACAGTAGCCACATTCCAAGTGCTTACTAGCAGACAATGATTATTTCCATCACACCCAAAATTTCTGCTGAGCAGCAGAGACCTACAGCACTGTGTCGGGAATGATTGTTAAGGTTGTATCTGGGCCACAGAAAAGATTATCCATTAGCATTGTCTACAATGGGTGCTGGGAGAACAAGGGTATCATAGTCTAAGTATTTGCCACTCATTAGATAATAGCAAATGTCTTACTATAACTTTGGATTCCTTAAAGACTGGTGTTTTGCACAGGTTATGTAATTTTGTAGTTAAATGCTGTTAATTCGGTTCTGACAGATAGCGATCTAGGATAGGGTTTTTGAGGAGCAACTTGTGAGTTTGAACCACTGACCTTGCAGTTCAAATTGACCTTGTGGTCCCATGCTTGCCTTGTGTAAACATGTTTATTGGCGTGAATAAGCAGCTGCTTAGAGCCCTTCCAGCACATGGACATCTTGTTTAAATAACCATGATTTGCTACTAACAGAATAGTGATCTAGTAGACTTTACGCTCTGGAGCTGTAGCTACACCACTTACCAGCTGTGTCATCTAGACCAAGTTACTCAACTTCTCTGTGCTCGTTTCATCTATAACATAGTTTCTAAGGATTATGCCCTAAGTTATAGTTTGTGTTGATTTGCTATCAGTTATAACTTATGTTCTATTTCCAAAATATGTTATAGTAGCTATAAACATCTAATAGCTATTTCTTATAAATATAATTTAAAATTTACTTCTGAATTAGCCAAAATTATTTTCTGCCAGTGGAATTTTAAAAAGACTATTCTGGAGTGGCACGGTGTTGCAGGATCAGCACTGGACTGCGAACCACAAGGTTGGCAGTTCAAATCCACTAGCTGCTCTTGGAAAACCCTATATGGAGGTCCCTATGAGTCAGAATTGACTCGATGGCATTTGACAACACATTCTTGAGTCAGGTGATAAAATGATTTGGAAGGGAATGAGTATGTTAGAGACCTACATGCAACAAAAGCTATTTTACATAATTTGGGGGGGAAATGATAGTCAACTGTTTATCCTATGAGAAAAAAAACAAAAAGCATCCCATTAAACAATGAATCGAGTATCCACGTGTTATCTAATACTATCAATATAACCACTGCTGACTCTTGACGCTTACATTTTTTTCCCTGTTAGTGCTTGACAACATGAAGAAAGCTCTCAAGTTGCTGAAGACAGAATTGTAAAAGAAAATAAAAATCTGCGAGCTCTTCCTGCCACGTTAGGTCTTAAGATTTGTGAACCAGAGATTTTAGAACTTAAGAGAATGCAGAAGTACTGGTTGACATTCTGATTATAGTTTATTATAACAGCTATTTTGTTGTGTGTGTATTTTTTAATTTGATTTTAAATATACATGTATGAAAGCAATATTATATACCACAGTGAGTCATAATTTTTTAAAAATAAATCCTTTTTGGGAGTGTTCAACCTGTAGTTCTTCCTTTTTTTCCAACTCGGTCTCTCAGAGAAAAGCTATTTGTCTTTTCATCTAACAGGACTGTTGGATGCATATTGGATGCTTAAGATAGGGATAAACACAACTACTTCAATCCGTGAAGATCAAAGACATTCAAGTTAGCATCTCACTACGCTACAGAGTCCTCACTCACTATGGAGTCCTCAAGGTCGGTTTGAATTACAAGGTCAGTGATTCAAACTCTATTCAGGGTCACTGAGTTGGAACCAACTCAGCAGCACACAACATTATTACAGGTTCTCACTAAAAATAGACAACTTGAAAAAAAATTTAAAGTAGACATGAGCTTTATCAACAGACCTATCAAATAGCATACAGTTTAGTATAAAAAAAATACATAAAAGGCATACCAAGATAACCAAGTACCTACTTGGAGATAACCTTTCTCCACCCTGGCCAGGACTCCAACATTTTTATTACCAATTCAATTTTAGATTTACCTAACAAAGCACTAACACTACCAGGAAAAGCCTGTAGCTGGTATCCTCCTACTTCAGTAGACTGACCAACCAACAGTGCAAAGTCATTGAAACACATCTGCACCCAAAACACACCCTAATGAATTCCTGAGAAATGGCCTTATAACAGACACAGTCTCTCAAGGTTCTAAAGAATGAAAATGGAATGCATTCCATTTGAATTGTAAACAGTGAGGGTTTCAACGTTTCCATCTTCTTTGACAAAAGGTGACTGGCTGATAGGAAGGCAGCAATGCCATATTGATGGGATAGAAATTAGGTAACTATTTAAATATAGAAGAGTTGTCAGGAAGTTGTAGCATATAAAACAGGAAAGTGCCTTGAGCTACTTTTAACTATATATCCTGTCCAACAAAAAATAAGCTTTATGTACTTATTCCCTCACTATATAATCTCACACTCAGTTGGTATATGAAACTCCTTTATAGTCCACTCCCACTGACTTCTTTGGCTCCTGAATGGTTGTGGTAACTCACTCACTCACTCTCTCTCTCTCTAGATACATATATATCTCTCTCTAGATACATATATATCTAGAGAGAGACAGACAGAGAGAGTTGTTATGTGCCATGGACTCGGTTCCGACTCATAGCGACCCTGTACAGGGTTTCCGAGGCTTTAAATCTTTATGGGAGCAGAAAGTCTCATCTTTTTCCTGCGGAACAGCTGGTAGTTTTGAACTGCTGACCTTAAGATTAGTAGCCGAATTTGTAACCACTACACTATCAGAGCTCTCTCTCTCTCTGTCTCTCTGTCTCTCTCTCTATATATAAATATATATATATACACACACACACTAGTGCTTAGCATATCAATCTTTTCCTTGTCTTGAATACCTTAAATTTTACCCATCATTTCTTATTATATCCTTTGGCATTATTAATTATTCCAAGGCAGATAATCAATGTTAAAATATTTTTCTCAGTAACTGTAAAAAGCTATTCATAAGATGTTATGCATACAATGTTGACTGAATGACATAAAAGTCCTCACCAAAGATATCTCCAGAGAAACTCTGTTCCTTTATCATGAGTAGATAACCCAGACACAAGATTTCTATGCACAGACAGTTTGAATAACAAATTCTAAATGATTCAAGGGCAACAAAATAATGTGTTTATTTTCACTGGGCTGATGTGAAGAGTGCTGTGTCCTTGAAATGTGTTCAATGACAAAGGTGCTACTTTAATATGACATATAATTTTTAAAAATATAAATCTTTGGGGAAATGAAATGTCAAAGTAGCAAAGAAGTGAGTCTGCCCTGGAAAAGTGTCAAAGTAACACAGCAAGAACCATATAATACACTGGTTTTAATCCAGTCTCCTGAAGAAATCCTGGAACAATCTTCTGTGAAGATGTCAGTGGCAAAACATTGAAATGTATATATACATTTTAAAAAATATATAATGGTTGTTGTTAAGTGCCGTCGAGTCAATTCCAACCCATAAAGACCCTATATAGGGTTACCAAGGAGTGGCTGGTGAGCTTGAATTACCAACCTTTCAGTTTAAATGACTTTGCAGTCTGATGCATTAGCCCACAGCGCCACACCAGGACTCCTATGTATACATATAATTAAATATGCTATGTATAGCATATTAATTAAAAATTCACATGTTGTCAGCATAGTAGTAGTGATCATGGAGAAACAAAAGTGCAAGTAAAGATGAATTCATACTATGATTGCAACTGCAAGAAATATGGAAATATACAAGATGGAAACATAATCAAATATACAAACATAGAAAGTTGTTTTATGAATATCAGCAATGCTTGTTCTAAAACACCCTTTATTGGCATCTCACAATCCTTCTTTTGTGTTTACATAAATTTCAAGTGGAAACATTCCTTGAGGATTTCTCTTTCTACAGAAAGATGGCGGAGTACTATGAAGACTTGCTATTAGTTGCTGTGCAGTCCATCCCAATGCATGTTGAACTCATGTGTGCAAAGTAGAACAGCTCCATAGGGTTTTCAAGGTTCAGACCCTCTGGAAGCAGATTGCCAACTATCTTCTGAGGCATCTCTGGTTGGGTTTGACCTTCCAACCTCTTGACAAGTAGTCAGGCACTTAGCCATTTGTGTCACCCAGAAACTCCAAGACTACAATGGATTATTTCAAATAGCTGAGTAGAAATGTTGGTAACATAAATCATCCATGAGCATAATTTACCAAGGTGTCCACCATGCCTGATTAAGCCATTGTGTACCTGTTTTAGACCTGTAATCTTCTTCAAATGATCATCTCTCTCCATTACTTCATGCATTCACAGTAATTCTAAATTACTTCAGAGGCCCCTTTTATTTAGTAATCACCAATGAGAATGAGGTTTGGGGGAGGCCAGAAAAAGCTCTAAGGTATGAGTAGAGCTTTCCTCATTCTCTAACCCAGGGCCAGACTTCAAAGTCCAAATGAGTTTGGCCTAACTTATTCAAGGAGCCCTGGTACTAAAGTGGGTTAAGTATTGGGGTCCTAATAACTGAAGGACAACAGTTCATCAGTAACTGCATGGTAGGAAGATGTGGAAACCTACTTCTCCAGAGATTTCCTGCCTCAGAACCCTAGGGAGCAGCTCTGCTCTGTCCTGCAGGGTCACAGTTCAACTGCAGTGAGCTAACTCACTCAAAGGTCAAAGGTCACTTTAACAAGTTGTAACCGTAACTACCTATTAAAAGCAAGATTGTGAAAGTAAGCAAAAGTGGTTTCCTCCTCCAAGTGAAGTCAATTATTTGACACATGTGAGAAATTTTTAGTTCGGATACCCTCTACAGCTGTCATTTGAGAATTCCAAAGCTAGTTTTCCTCAAGAGAGGAGATGAGGTCTGAAATATGATGAAGGAGTTTGATTTTTTGTTTTCTCACTGACCCAAGAGATATTTCCATGGAAAAACTAAAACTGCTCAGCTGTCATCTGACATTAAGTTCAGCATAAAAGTTCTGTTGTCTGTTTTCTCTCCCTCCCTCCTCTCTCTTTCCTTCTTCTGTTATTGGTGGAGTGGAGGTGTGGGGTAAAGGGCAGTGCTGGTGGTTTCCCTGAAAGTTGTTAGGAAATCTTTACCAACACATACTCTAACTGTATTTAGCATGAAGATCCTGATATAAAAATGAACTGCTAGTCCCCAAACATACCAAGTACAGAACAACTTTATACAAATCCCCTCACTTGTCCAGAAACCTGGAAAAGTTGACACTTAACTTTATTGTCATTTCTAACAAAACAATTCACATGAGTGATCATATTGGTACAAACAGAATGACTGCTACCTATTTTCTCCTGTGAAATAGTATATATCAAAAATGCAGTTCTAACTTGTGATGCGGTGGGATAAAGCACTGGGCTTCAAGGTCAGTTTGAACCACAAGGTAAGGTAGTTCAAACCCACCAGCAGCTCCTTGGAAACCCTATACAGAGTCGCTATGAGTCGACTCAACTCATAACTTGACTGAATTGACTTGAACCAACTCGATGGCACCAAACAACAACGAAAAGTTTTTAAGAATTTATTCAGTGTATTTTCAAAAGAATGAATAAACTGAATAGTAAACAAATATTTAGAATTGAAGGATTTTTGCTTAAGGAAGCTAAGAACTAAAAGCCACACTACTTTTCTGAAAGGTTCTATTCAGCAGCATATTTCTTTTATATTTTTTTCGCTTATTAGTTTTAGCATGTTAAAAACAATCATCAGCAGATTTCATAAATTGAATGTGCCAAACTGGTTTTCATATCAAATGCATTGTGAGTTATATAGTGTTGTTGTTGTTGTGAAGTGCCGTTGAGTTGGTTCCAACCCATAGTGATACTGTATGTTGTTGTTGTTATGTGCCGTGGAGTCGGTTCCAACTCATAGCGACCCTACACAGGGTTTCCGAGGCTATAAATCTTTACGGGAGCAGACCACCTCATCGTTCTCCCGTGGAGTGGCTGGTAGTTTCGAACTGCTGACCTTGCGGCTCACAGCCCGATTCATAAACACTACGCTACCAGAGCTCCTTAGTGACCCTGCATAGGGTTTCCAATAAGCAGCTGGTGAGCTTGAACTGCCAACCTTGCAATTCAAATGGCTTTGCAGTCTGACGCATTAACCCAGAGCGCCACACCAGGACTACGACTTATATAGTAGAATCTCTGTAATGAATTTAACTCACATGAGCTCAGATTTTTTAAATTAGAGCCTACTGTTTTTTTTTCTCTCTGTATTATTGTTACTGCTGTTAAGTCCTCTTAAGTGGATAGGGTTTCCCAGGAGTGGCTGGTAGGTTTGAATCACCAACTTGGAGTCATCAACCCAGTGCTTTTCTTACAGCATCATACCAAGACTCCATTGACATTATATTCTTAGCTGAATTGTCACCACTAGCATCCAGGTGAGCTGAACAAACATTCTAGAACATTCTTCTTAAGATTTTTAAGTATCATAGTTGCATTTTAAAAGAAATGCTAGGTTTAGAAGAAAGCACTAGGGTTTGGAATTACCTTATAAGCACCTGTTGGAATTCAAGGACAGACCTTGATCTAAAATCTTCCCCTAAGGAATGTTTGTAGGCAGGGCCCCCTGTAACCTTAGGATCAACATGACCTCGATGGCTCAGCAGGCAGTCCATTCAGGATGAAGCTATTCAAAGACTTTCCAGCAGGTGTTAGGATACACTGTGGAATAGGAGCTGTGTGTCTCCATATTCAGACACAAAGATCACAGGAGACCTCCTAGAAGGGCTGGGTAATCTATCCCCTTTCAAATCTCCCAGAGAGAATTGAAAGCTCAAATGAACTTAACAGGGTTATCCCTAGGATTTAAAAATATCTCTCTAGTAGAGTACTGGTGTGGCATTGTGGGCTAATGTGCTGGACTACAAAGTCAGTTTGAACCGCAAGGTCAGTGGTTCAAGCTCACCAGTTGCTTCTTGGAAACTCTATACAGGGTCAGTATGGGTCAGAACCGACTCAACAGCACTTGACAATAATGACATCCCTAAGATTCATGCTTCCCAGATTTTGATTTTTGTTTGGTTAATTAAATAAAGCCATTGCAGTTAGAGCACAAACCAAGGCTACAGGCTGGTTCTCTCTGGACTAAAACTCATTGTACTCAGTCTCATTGTACCAAGAAAAAAGTATTACATCAAGAAATTCTAGCCTATCATGAGAACAACCAAGCACAGTATGGTGAATGCAATAATTGAACATGTAAAGTACATTGATATGGCAAAAGTTTGGTAATATGTTGAGCCTTAAACAGCACCAAAAACCCTGCACAGATGAGGATTAGCATGTAACTTTTGACTCCTCATAAACTTAAAGTTGTTGCTGTTAAATGCCAAGGAGATGGTTCTGACTCATAGTGACACTGTATGTGGTTTCCAAGGAGTTACTGGTGGGTTTGAGCCACTGACCTTGTGGTTCAAATGGACCTTGTGGTTGAGTGCTTATCTTAGAGCACCATACCAGGACTCCCCCATAAAATTAAAATCCTTACTAGTATCTGACTATTGCCTGCAAGCCTCATGGATCAGCCAATTTCCATGTATTTTAAATTAAAAGTACCATGGCTTGAGTCAGGAGCACTTTAGTCCTCAAAGTGATATCTTTGCTCTTGAACACTTTAAAGATGTCTAATGCAACAGATTTGCCTAATGCAATATGTCATTTGATTTCTTGACTGCTGTTTCCATGAGTGTTGACTGTGGATCCAGCACAACGAAGTCTTGGACAACTTCAATCTTTTTTCCATTTATCAAGATGCTATTTATTGGTCCAGTTCTGAGGATTTTTGTTTTCTTTACATTGAGGCTTATGGTCTGTGGTCTTCATCAGTAAGTATTTTAAATTCTCTTTGCTTTCATCAAGCATGGCTGTATCATCTGCATACTGCAGGTTGTTAATGAGTCTTCCTCCAATCCTGACGCCATGTTCTTCTTCATACAATCCAACTTCTCTGATTATTTTCTCAGCATACAGACTGAATAAGTGTAGTGAAAGAATACAGAACTGGCACATACCTTTCCTGATTTTAAACCATTCCGTACCCTCTTCTTCAGTTACAACTGCCTCTTGGTCTGTGTACAGTATCCCCATGAGCAAAATTAAATGTTCTGGAATACCTGTAATGTTATCCATAGCTGTCGTGATCCACACAGTTGAAAGCCTCTGCATAGTCAATAAAGCACAAATAAACATCTTTCTGGTATTCTTTGCGTTCAGCCAAGATCCATTGGACGGTCACCATGATATCCCTAGTTTTACGTCCTGTTCTGAATCCAGCTTGAATTTCTGGCAGTTTCCTGTTGATGTATTGTTGCAGTCGTTTTAGAATTATCTTCAGCAAAATTTTACTTGCATGTGATATTAATGATATTATTAAAAGCTTATCAGTGGTCACCTAAGGTGCAACTATTTGTCTCTCCCTATGCAGAGGAAAGAAAAGTGATGAAAACTGAAGACACTTTGAAACAATTAGTGCAGTGGACTAATGGACCATATTAACATCAGTCTCCATGACCCTGAGACCAGAAGAACTAGATGGTGGCCAATTACCACTACCAACTTCTCTGAAAAGGATCACATTAGAAAGTCCCAGAGAGAGTTGAGGGAAAAGTGGAAAAAACAAATTTTTTTAAGTGTCAAAGACCAGGCTTACTAATGATAGAGACTTATGGAAACTGAGACTACAATCCTTGGTCAGCCTTCAGGCCTTGAAATGAACTCACCCAGATAGCTTAATTTTCAGTACAAATCAGGCTGTGAACTGTAAGGTCAGCAGTTTGAAACTACCAGCTGTTCTGCAGGAGAAAGATGAGGCTTTCTGCTCCTGCAAAGATTTACAACCTTGGAAACCCTGTGCAGGGTCGCTATGAGTTGGAACCGACTCCACGGCACATAACAACAACAACAACAACAGGTAATATTACAGGAATTCTGGTGTGGCACTGTGGATTAAAGCACTGGACTGAAAAGTCACTTTGAACCTCAAGGTTGGAGATTCAAGCTCCCTAGCTGCTCCTCAGAAACCCTATACAGGGTCACTATGGGTCAGAACCAACTAGATGGCACTTAATAACAACAACAGATAATATAATGGGAACAACAGCACTAGCGAGGTACACACATCACATAATGGCCAGCCACTGGAAATCAATAGGGCAGCACTTATCCAAAGACGAAATTCAGATAGGTTGGGAAGGAAGGCAGGCTGTGGATGGGGAGCACAGGGATGAAGTGGGATTGGTGATATTACATTGATGGGAACTGCAATGACTGAGCTGAAATTAGTGTATGATTTGTTGAATGTAAAACTGATGGGCTGCTCTGCAAATCTTCACTTAAATCACAATAAAAAGTAAAAATTTTAAAAACCAGACAGAATTCCAAAATCTTACTTCCTTCATGTGGCAGCTGTAATCTCATTTTACAGTACAGGTGGGAATATTTCAAAAGTGTCCCAGAGCTCAATATGATATCACAAGAATGGTCACAATAATATGTGTTTTTGAAGGTGAAGTATAACACTTAGTCTTGCAGAGTCACAGAAATGATAAACCCACAAAATGTTCCAAAATTCTATAGGTCAACCATTTATCCTCTTGGTCTAAAACCTATCAAGACCATTAATAATAAATATCATGTCCTACACAGAATACAAGATAACAAATTAGCAATATCTAGCAATATGAAATAACTTACTTACATTTCCACATAAATATAAATAACTTCTCTTTGTAAAGAACCTTTCACAGTATGGTAATGAAATTTAAAATGATAATTTCAAGACAGGTTGTGTGAATGGCTACCAATAAACAGAGGTTAGTGCTGGAAGTTCATCTCCCTAGTTTATTATACACGAAAATAAAAACATTCAGCTCTAAGTCAGTCTAACAGGAACCCAGAGCATAAAGGAAAAAAAAAAAATTCTATTTCACTTAATTCATTTATTAATTCTATTTATTACCTTCTTTTGAAGTCTTCTGTGGTGCTGTAGGATAAGCACTGGACTGCTAATTGCAAGGCTGGTGGTTCAAACCCACCAGCTGTTCCTCAGAAATCTTATACAGTGTCGCTCTGAGGAGTCAAAACCAACTCAATAGCACTTAACAACAACAACGAGATGGTCTTTTAAGTCAAGCATTCATATACATAAGAAAAGGTTTCTAATCTTTAATTTTTAACATAATATACAGTATCATTTCAAATTACAGGAGATTACATTCAAATATGCTTAGGTATGACATGTTACAATACTGAGAAATTTCATGAAAAAGGCGTTTAATCCTTAGTAAGAAAACCAAATATCGTTTTGTTACATGGACCACCTTATTAATAGTAACATGTTTAAAAATGTAGTATTTGGGTCTTCAATTATTACAAAAAGAAATAATCAAAAAGGTTATATAGATATACTTTCTAAATTTTACAAACGTGTTCAATTTTGAAGGCTGAAGGTAAATGGTACATATCTGAATGTTTCATGAGACTTCTCAGTTGCACTTATCTGTGTAAGTCCAAAACTAAACCAACACTTTTCTAAAGACACAGCTATTTCTAAACTACATTAGTGTAATCATAAAAGACTACCATAGAACTAAAGTATCACTTTTATACTATAACTTTCACCACAACACTTCTTTCCTAAAAAACTGGGAATTTAGATTTCCCTTACTGAATTTAATATAATAGAACCTTATACTTTCTGGCTTTTTAATAAATTTCAACTCTTTTTCCTGAAGGAACTATCTACACAGCACAGTGCTACATAAAATTATTCCAGTGAAATCTGTATTTAAAGTCACAATATGATCAACACAATATGCCATCCGGCATTTTTCTGCAGGTATAAATGCTTAGAAAGGCCACAGTGGACAGTGCAGATACTGTGAATACAGTAGGTTACAGGTACCACTGAGGGGCAGAGGAAACCGTACGTTTCTATTTGTTTTCAGCAATGGACAAAGATAAACATTTAGAGAAACCTAAAAGTGAAAAAAAATACAATTCCACTGTCACCCATGTAATTTTTCAGATACTGTTTCCTCAATTAAATGGGCCAATCATCTTTTCTAAACTTAAAAGTTACTGAAAATGAGCAAGATCAGAAAAATGAATGAAATTCCTTATTTTCCAATCAAAGGAACGCACTAGGATTAGCACGAGGATCTTTCTGGTTCCTGTATCTGTAAGTCAGCCAGACGCCCAAAATCTAAAATGGAAAGAGGGGGAAAAGAAAGAGAGAGAAAGCAGCAGTATGTTATTTATTCAGTAAGATATCATTTACCAGTAAAACAATGACATAACTCAGAAATCTCGGAAGCACTTTGCATTATTTATTGCAAGGAGAAAGATACCTTTTGTTTATGAAACATCATGTAGTAAGTATATCAAAAAAGCCCTAAGAAAACAAATTAATATGAACACTGTGGTAGAATGAATTAGGATTCCTCCTCCTTCACCCCCTCCCTGCAAAAAAAGTTCATGTCCTAATCCTAAAATGGCACTTAACATCAACAACATTCCCCAAAACGTACAAATATTATGTGGCAAAAGGTACTTTGCAGATATGATGAATTTAAGGATCTCACGATGTGGAAAGTACCTAGATTATCCAGGTGGGTCCAATGATATCATCTAGTTGTTGTGAAGTACCATCAAGTTGGTCTGACTCATATCAACCCTGTATAGGGTTTCTGAGGATTTAAGTCTTTGAGGGAGCAGAAAGCTTCATCTTCCTCCCATGGAGCAGCAGGCAGACTCGAACCACATACCTTATGGTTTGCAGTTGAATGCTTATTATATGGAGCACCATGGCCCTGATGCCATCATATTGTTGTTGTTAAGTGCTGTTGAGTCAATTCTGACTCATAGCGACCCTGCATTAGGCTTCCAAGGAGTGACTGGTGAACTTGAACCTCCAACCTTGTGGTTCAACCCCACCTTGTAGTCCAGTGCTTTATTCCGCAATGCCACAGCAGGATTCCTGCTATCATCATTGTTGTTGTTATTGTTAAGTGCCATTGAGTTAGTTCTGACTCACAGCAACCTTGTACAGGAGCAGCTGGTGGGTTTGAACCACCAACCCTGTGGTTCGTAGTCCAGTGTTTATCTTACAGTGCCACACCAGAAGTCCGATACATCATTTTTGTTGTTGAGTATTGTCAGGTCGGTTCAGACCCACAGTGACCCTATATATAGGGTTTTTGAGAACTGGCTAGTGACCTTGTGGTTCAAACCGACCTTGCAGTCTAGTGCATTAACCCACAGCACCACACCAGGAATCTGATATCTTCATAAAAGTCCTTAAAGGAAGGTCAAAGTCCAAGATATAGTAAGTCAGCAATGTTATAATGGAAGCAGAGTCCAAGAGAGAAGATGCTATGAGCCAAAGACTGTAGATGACCTATGTTTTTGTTGTTAAGTGTCCTCAAGTCAGTTCCAACTCAATGACCCTGAGGAGTGGCTGGTGGGTTTGAACCACCAATCTTGTGATTCTCCTACAACACCACACTGGGACTCCTAGGTGACCTATTGCTGCTGCTGTTGTTACATGCCATCGAGTTGGTCCCAACTCACAGTGACCCTGTATAGGGTTTCCAGCAGAAGGTGGAAAAGGCAAGAAAATAGGCTCTTGCTAGACCTTTCAGAAGGAACACAGATTTACAAGCCCATTTAGGCTTCTGATTTCCAGGACTGTAAATAATAAATGGTTGCTTTAAGTCACTAAATTAACAGTAGCAATAGGAAACTAATACAAATATTAAGTAGTCTGAATAATTAAACTATCATATAATTTGAAAAATCAGAAACAAACTGGAGTCATTAAAAATTACACAATACCAAAATTCTGTAATAAATACATTTACCATCACAGACCATTATTAATGCTACAGTTTCATGCCTGTCTACAGGAATAAAACCCAATAATCTTAGATAAGTGTTAAATTGTTATTATACCATTTTCATACCGGTTTATGGGAAAACATGCTAATCAATATAGCCTAAGTTTTAAGATACGTGTTCTTTCTGTTTCTGTTAAAACTGCTTTGTTAAAAAAAAAAAATCTAACTTCATAGAAAGAGGTGCAAAATTTTAATAGTTAAATTCAAATTGCATTTCTACTTTGTTGGTGGTGGTAAGGGCTGTCAAATTGGTTCCAACTCATAGTGACCCTGGATAGGATTTCCAAGGAGTAGTTTGGTGGGTTTGAATCTTGTTATTTGAATCTTGTAGTTAAAAGTCCAATGCTTGTCCTACAATGCCACACCAGAACTCCATAAGATCTGTGTTTAAGTGTTAATCTGAATTTTGTTCATTTGATTTCTAAGTCATCCACGATACCTTTAATTACTTCTAGAGAATTAAAGTAAATAAAAATTTTCTCTATTAACCACAGTAATGATTGACCATGTTTAGAGCCACAACATGTATGTTTTTGTGGTTGTTAAGTGCCGTTGAGTTGATTCTGACTCATAGCAATCCTGTACAGGGTTTCCAAAGAGCAGCTGATGGGTATTGAACTGCCAACCTTCTAGCTAGCAGTCCAGTGTTTATCCTATAGGGCCACATCATGTATAGACTGATGAGACTGTGGTTTGTGAGCTGAACCAAGGACTGATAAGCTAAATTTAAAATAAGCCCAATTTGGGGGAGTGAAAATTCTTTACTGGAGTCTGTCTGCAGAGAAATAAAAAGTCGTGTATTTAACAAGTATCTACATAGTACTTACACTCTACACTGTATTGTGTGACAGGCACTGCTCAATAGACTTTGAAAGTTTGTGGAAAAGTCCCATTATCCATTAATTCCATTTCTGAAGCCCCCTCATACTTTATAAGTAATTATTCACTCAATCCTACGAGATAGTTACTACCAGCATTTGTTTTATAAATGAGGAAACTGAGGCATAGAGACTTAGATAACCACCTAATAGTTTCAATGTTCGTGAGTAGTGGAGCCAGGGTTAAAATCTGGACTTCATACTCCTAATCATTTCTGTCTATGTTCCTGTATGTGATAGTCTGATGTGCCATTTCTGACATGCTAATTATTACAATACTAAGTAATAGGTCAGCCTCCTCCTACCTCCGGGCCCTGCCAACAGTACCTAAGCATGATTTCCTTGACCTTCTCTTCAGAAACTCTGCCACACAGGATGCTTCCGGTTAGGATTTTTTAAGTTGTTAAATATATTTATCATTATCCCTACATACACGTCTATGTCTGTTCAAGTCACAGGGAAACAAAGCATCTGGATAAATTTCAGCTCCTAATCTAGCGGACATATTGCTGATGTTATTAAGTGCCCTGTAGTAGGTTCCAACTCATAGTGACCCTGTATAGGGTTTCCAAGGAGTGTCTGGTGAGCTTGAACCACTGACCTTGCAGTCCAGTGCAGTACCCCACAGTGCCACAGCAGGACTCCAGAGCCACACATGTCAGTACTAAATTACTCAAATTTAACCATAAGTGACAAAAGGAAGAAGTGTTTCCTTTTCCCGGCTACCTAATCACTAACTCCTACCTCACACCCAAAATGCAAACCAGTTAAAAATAGATGATTATTGGATCTTAAGGTTTTAAAGCTACTGGTGATTTAGGTAATTTTTGAAGGATAACTGACTAGACGTAATCAGCAACCATCTGCTGATTCTAGAAGCTTAAGGCTGATAGGTCTTAAGGTCATCAGGGTATCGTTCATACCATAGAAATGTGTATGGAGTGGGAAATAATAAATATGTGCTAAGTATGGAGTTCTGGTTTGGTGCTGTAGGATAAGTACTAGATTGCAAAGTCAGCTTGAACTACAACATTGGTTTTTCAAACTCACCAGTCGCTCCTAGAAGACCCTACACAGGGTCGCTATGAGTCAAAACCTATTTGACAGCACTTAACAACACAACTATAGAAGTGACAGAAGGAAATATGCCAAAATGGAAATGATGTTTCTGAGAAAATAATTTCAATTAACAAATATTTTCATTTTTATCTTCATAATTTTCTATATTTTCACATTTTCTTTAGAGAACATAAATCATAATAACACTTTTCAGATTATAAATCTTTTCTCTGATGATTTAAAGTTATTTTAAGATTAATATAACTAGTTTAAATCAAATCTTTCCTATTTTACCTACGATAAGAAACCCTTGTTCCTTCAAACACTGATAATTTGTGATTCCAAAATACTGAATAAAATAAAAAATTTAAAGTGAGAGAATAAATATTTGACTACCAAATACTTATTATCCAGAAATATCAGATTTTATAAATTATTAAAACACCTAGCTGTGTTTCAAAAGGTGATTTATTTTTATTTTTTTAATTTAAAGCACAGAGCACAAATCAATAAAAGGACACTTAAGAAAACTGTTTCATTAAAGAAAGGGCATTTAACAAAATAAGCAGATGTGAAGGCAATGTAATCTGACAGAAGAAAAAAAAAAAAAACCAAAACAGTGCTGCTCAAAAATGCTCAAATCCCAAAAGAAAAATCCATTTGATTCATAGAAATCCTCTGTAGGTTTTCTGAGATTATAAATCTTTAGGGGAATAGACACTATCATCTTTCTCCAATGGAGCAGGGAGCGTTGGTGGGTTTGAAATGTACCACCAGAACTCAAAATAAATTTTCTAAATTTAAATGAAAAATTCAAAATAGACAAAAATTTAGAGGGCACAAAAAATTGCCGATAGGAAAGAGTTAGAGGGAAGGAAGAAGCAGGAGAGAGAGAAAGGAAGTTATGCAAAAAAGAAAAAGAAAGGAGAAAGGAAGAGGAGTTGCGGGGGCAACATTCTTGTTAGCCTGGATTTCTAATACCACACCTCGTAAGGCCCAGCCTTATACTGTATGTACTTCCTCCATAAATTCCAATACCTCCCCCACGCCCAGGCACACTATCATATTTTTGCAAATGAAATTTTGGGTTTGCCACTTGTAATTCAAAGGTTCTTAGATAACTATACAAGAAAACTATGTGGGCAATTCACAGAACAAGAAATGGCCAAAGAAGGATATGTATATGGTTAAATTCTCTACTAATTATTACAGAGAATAAATAATTGTAATAACTAATTTTTACCTACCAGATTGGCAAATACTTTTCAAAATAAAAACTATCTACAGTTAATGGTGCTGTGGGGTAATGTACCCGACTGCAAAGATGTTTGAATCACAAGGTCAGTGGTTCAAACTCACCAGTCACTCCTTGGAAACCCTATGCATGGTCCCTATGGGTCAGAATCGACTTGACGGCACTTAACAACAACAACTAAGAAAGCAAAGAGACCTGGTGGTGCAATGGTTAAGTGCTCAGATGGCAGTTCAAACCCACCAGCCGCTCTGTAGGAGAAAAGACTTGGCAATTTGTTCCCATAAAGATTACAGTCTATGAAACCTTGACACAGTTCTGGGGCAGTTCAGAATTGACTTGAACACAGAACTCAGAAGGCAATTTGAAAATATACACCAAAATCTTTTTAAATGTCCACATACTGAGTACATCAAATTTTACTTCTAGAAATATATTCTAAGAGGGGGGAAGGTCTAGAAAATACAGATAGAAATTTATGTACAAAGAAGATGACCATGGATTTACAGTGGTGGTGGTGGTCATGTACCATGGAGTCAGTTCCAACTCATAGTGACCCTGCACAGGGTTTCTGAGGCTGTAAATCTTTATGGGAGCAGAAAGCTTCATCTCTCTCCTGCGGAACAGCTGGTAGTTTTAAACTGCTGACCCTGAGGTTAGCAGCCTGATTCGTAACCACTATGCTACCAGAGCTCCTTAAGGATTTACAGTAATGATATATTTTTAAAAATTAAATGTCCAACATGTAAAATAAGCATGTTACACTTTACTAATGAAAAACACTTTTGAATTTGCTGGTTTTAAGGTAGATGTTAACTTTTAAACTAGCCAGCCATATATTTCTAGCATTAATACACATTTTATATAAATTATATAGTTCTATATGCTATTCTGTTATGTTTTGAAAGAGTAAAGAATGTAACAGAGACATCTGACCATGATTATGATCGCTTCTACTATCATTCTTTTCAATGTCACCTAATGTGGTACTGTAGGAGCTCTGATAGCATAGTGGTTACGAGTCGGGCTGCCAACCGCAAGGTCAGCAGTTCAAAACTACAGCGGTTCCATGGGAGAAAGATGAGGCATTCTGCTCCTGTAAAGATTTACAGCCTCGGAAACCCTGTGCGCAGGATCACTATGAGTCAGAACTGACTCCACAGCACTTAACAACAACAACAATAATGTGGTGCTGTAGGATCAGTACTGGACTGTGAACCACAAGGTCAGCAGTTCAAAGCCACCAACTGCTCCTTAGAAACCCTATACAGAGTCACTATGAGTCAGAACCAACTGGAAGGCACTTAACAACAATATACCAGCTTTACTAATGGCTACAAATGACAGCTGACACAGTACCTGTACTGGATACTATTCTGAGTTTTATAAATTCCACATGTACTAAGTCCTGGTGTGGCACTGGGGGATAAAGCACTGGATCTCAAGGTCAATTTGAACCACAACGTTGACAGTTCAAACTCACCAATTGTTCCTTGGATACCCTATAAAGGGTTGCTCTGAATAGGAACAGACTCAAGGACACTAACAACAAAAAGTCTTTTTATTATCACAACAAAAGGACAGGCTGTGGATTATAATTCCCAATTTTAAACAGAAACAGAAGTAACTTGCCCGCAGTCATAGTCAGTAAGAAGATTGCAACCTAGACAAGTACAAAAACATCAAAAAATGTCCATAGAAACTTACAGTTTGATGAAGACACTGGTGAAGGAATCATTATTCCTTAACGTTATCAAATAATATATTTGTTTTTCCTTGCAGATATTGTATTTATATAACTATATCAATTAATAAATATATAACAACACATAAGAAATTTACAACAGTGGTTCCTATAAGTCCTAAAAGTCTGTGAACAAGCATGGGGGCATGGGGCTGAAAACAATTGTTCAAAGCCCACTTCATATAGGTGCATGCATGCTGTATATGTTTTAAACAATGTGAATGTGTCTCACCCATTCCAAAATCAAATTTAAATTTTTACTTTTGCCCAGACATCCATTGCTGACTCACAGCAACCCTACAGGGCAGATCAGAGTAGACCTGTCCCATAGGGTTTCCAAATTGTAATCTTTATGGAAGGATGACTGCCACACCTTCTTCCCAAGGAGCAGCTTGGTGGTTCTGAACCACCAAGCTTTTGGTTAGGAGCTGAGTACTTATCCACACCACGAACAAGTCTACAAGTAAGCATACACTACACTATAATTCTAGGATAAACACTGGACTGCTAACCACAGGCTGTCAGTTCCAATCCACCAGCCACTCCTCGGAAACCCTATATAGGGTCGCTATAAATTAGAACCAACTCAAAGGCACTTAACAATGACAATGAGACTGTAATTTACCACAAGGCAGAAAGAGATCCTAAAGATAATCCAGTTTAATATCTTCATTTCATATACCCATTATGTTTTACATTAAGGGGAACAGGAACAGATAAACCATCTCAATTTTTGCTACAAGGTTAAGGCTAGGTTTAGAAGTATACCTCGGTATTCTGATGCCCAACCTTGCTATAATGTTAGTTCTCAATGAAAGTATCCATTGACGCATTCCAAAACCTGAGTGCCGTGCTAAGGTGAAACTCCATGCCTTCTGCTGCTGTCACATATGCAAACAAATATTGAGTCCTTTTCACATACCTCTGTAAAACTGAAGAAGAGGCCAATACCGCCAACAAATCTCAAAACCTCTCCAGCATATTCTTCTATTATTGGCGCACACAATGAGCACTGGTGGCTACTTTTGACACAGCTCTGAATCAATTAAAGAAAAGAACATCTGACTCAATATTCATTTATGAAGAACGTATGAAATCTACAAAAATAATTTGGCATCTGGAGATACTATTTCCAATTTTGGACCTTGGTTCCTTAGCCAGCTCCTAGGGCTCTGTGGTGAGCAGAATTTTAAGATGATCGCTAAGATCCACTCCACATCCCCCGCACCCAGTGTAACCTATGTATAATCCCTCATGTGCATGGGACAGGTCTTGTGAATATGATGGGATCATCCCTACCCTAGGCACTGCACTCTGTAAGACTCCATCTTAGCAGGATGGGTAGAGAGATTTTCTCATGCTGGCTTTGAACTACCAGGATTTTAGAGGGCCCTGTAATTAAGATCTGAGAGCATTCTCTGAAGCTGAGAGAGACACCCTAAAGGACACCCAGCTCAAAAACAAGGGCTTTGGTCCTAGCCATCCCACCCCCAGCCCCCAAGGAATTGAATTCTACCATTAACCAGTGAGTGTGGAAGAAGATTCTCTGCCTCAGATGAGACCACAGTCCCAGCCAACACCTGGAGTTCTATTTGGTAAGAAGACCATGAGCAAAGAGCTCAGTTAATCCCTACCAACTCCTAACCCAAGGAAACTGTGAGAAAATGAATGGGGGAAGTTTTAAGCCACTCATTTCATAATAATGTGTTATACAGCAAGGCCCCTATGGCAGGCACACATGCACGCACACACAAAAAGGAGCCTTGGTGGTATAGAGAATTGAACATTGGGCTGCTAACTGCAAGATCAGCAGTTCAAACCCTCCAGCCACTTCTCAGAAGAAGAATGAAGCTCTCAGTTTCCACAAAGATTCACAGTCTCTGAATTCCTAGGGACAGTTTGACTCTGCCCTATAGGGTCACTGTGAGTCAGAACTGACTCAATAGAAGTGGGGACAGTGTCTTGTCATAGCAAAAATTTTATTAAAAAAAAAAAAATGCCACAAAAGAGGTCTCATTTGGGTAATTTCAAAAGAGGCCACACTAGGGGAATTTCCAACTTAGGGCTCAGACATGTACTAAGAGGGGTTCCCCAAAATATCAATCTATGTGAATTTCCCTATAAAGTCAAAGCTTGAGTTCACCTTCACACAGATCAGTCTGGAACTTGGAGGTCAGAGGACTGATGAGGATGGTTGTTGTAGTTAGTATATCATTTAGCTCAGTTCCCAAAGAAAAAAGGTATGAAGTTGTGCTATGGTGTGCATTGCAATGAATTACTTACTATGGCCCTCCTAGCCACAGTCTTTGTGACTCCATCACAAAAATCGGGTGGTTATATGCCATGGAGTCGATTCCGACTCATATCGACCCTATACAGGGTTTCCAAGACTGTAAATCTTTATGGAAGCAGAAAGCCTCATCTTTCTCCCATGGGACAGCTGACAGAACTGCTGACCTTGTGGTTCGCAATCCGATTCAATTCCACTACGTTAGGACTGTACAAATATGGTGTTTGTGGCCCACCAAGGGGATTGGGCAGCCTGCTAAGAATACAAATAAGGTGCATGGACCTCATGTGAAGATGGGACAATAAAAATAAAGTATGTGGAATCCTAAAGAGGGAATCAGTCAGTTTTGCCTTCCCACTACGCTAAAATTAGCATGTAACTAATCCCAGAGTGAGAAGGCAGAGGACTTTACTACCACAAAGACAGAAGAGCCAGCACCAGTGTGTTCTTTTGACCCTGGGTCCCTAAGCTGAGAACCTCCTAGACCCGAAAGACAGAGAAAATTATAATATTGGAGATGGGAAAAGACAAAGAGAAATGACATGTGCAGCAGAGAACCAGAAGACTGGCAGGAGATGGCGCCATAGTTGGCTTCCTGACCCATGGAGTGAGGAAGCTGAGCACCTTCAAGTAGGAGACTTGTTGGCAGAGTGCACTATCTCTGGGAACTTCACAAAGCTAGGCTTACGAACCCATGAAGCAAGAGAGCTAAGTGCCTTAAGGCAGATGATTTGCTGAAGGAGTGGGATGTTTCTGGGCATTTATTAGTGCAGCTGTAGAACCTGTAATACTTGCCTGAACAGGATAAAGACCTGCCCATGAGGCCAAGGGGAAAGGCCTGCCTGTGGGCATAGCCAAAAAGTTGTCCTGACGAAGAACCGTATCCTGAGTCACTCCTAATCCTTACCTGGAACCTGTTACTTCCCTAAAACCCCATAATCATGTGTACAGTCTGTGAGTTCTATATGGTCCCTACAATGAATTACTAAACTCAGTAAAGCAGTCTAGAGTACCATGGGAGTGACAGCCGGTGGCAGAATTGGTAAAAGGGTGGGGAGAGGAGCTATGTCTAAACTGCACAGGAATTAACTTTGGGCCGATGCTGATGGTGATTCTCTTTCATCCCTGTGAAGTTAGTAGAAGTTGGATGTCCCACCAATGCCATTTTTACAGGGAGGGAGAGAGAACAGAAAAAGGTAGTCACATGTATACTCCACTGTGGGCATGTTTAACTGTTTTAAATATCCAGTTTAGTACAAATCATTCTCTTCTTACCATCCTTATATGGTTTAAAACCAAGACATTTAAACACCTCCTCTGAATCACTAAGGCTGATCATTCTCTTTCACATTATTTCTAAGAGGATTAGAATGGTAAGGAATAAGGGGCAATAACTAGAAGCATCCATGGACATCCAATCCAGAAATATTGAGCACTCTTGGGATTGGATATCTGTGAAGAGGCAAACAATACAACAGTGTACAAGCGTAGATGTATGTACAGCATTTTAAAAATGCAATTCGGCATCAGAAAGTCCACTTCTTCCAGGTTAATCATTATCCTCCTGTACACAATATATCTCCAATAAATATTTCATACTTTGTACTTACTGCGAAACAGGTGTCATTTAGGTTAAAACTTCGGAACCCACAACAGTTTAAATTTCTCTGGATGTCATTTCGAGCACTTGCTGTATTATTCCAACCAACTTCCAGAAGTTGACCCTACATAACGCATTCAATGTTTACATTAAAATGTGTCATCCTTGTGTAAAATATACAAAGCTTGAGCTTATAATTGTAGTGCTGAGTGTGCCTAAAATAAATATTCTTTATAAGACCATTAAAATTTTTCAGTGATAAAAGCTTACCACTCAATCTGTAACAAAAGTTAAGATACTGCTTTTATCTCAAGAATGAAAACTTCTTAATGTTTAAATGCAATTTAAAAGAAGTACTTGGCTCAAATGCATAATTCTCAAAGTGTGACAAGATGAAATTCTATTGCTCCAAAATAAGGGATCATATACCTCTGCAAAAAAGAAAGTAGTTGATAAGATGGAACTACCACAAATGTTCTAGAGCAAACATTTCATTGCATAGTGGTGGGAGGAGACTGGGTAGACATCTTTTAAAAGAGCCCAATGTTTAGAGTGAGAATGGCATTCTGGGCAAGAGGAAGTTACTTTAGATTCCAGTCATGTTTGCTCTTTTTCCTATACTCATATGAAGAAATAAAGTAAAAGGAAAAGTCTTTGCTTACCTGTTGTTCCTGGTTTAGGGCTAAACAGGCACAGGATACAGAAAACTGAACAATAAATACAAGTAAGAGAATAATCATGTACTGAGAGTTAAAAGTTAAGGATATTCTAAGTACTTTGAAAAGAAGATAAAACAAAGATACTGATAATTTCTAAAAGGCATATACATAATAATTATTTTGATAATACACTACAGAAGCATATCTATTAGAATTTTATATAGAATAAAATATAAACTTTTTATTTATCAAATAGGAAATGCTGTTGTTGTTGTTAAGTGCCATCGAGTCAATTCTGACCCATAACAACCCTGTACAGGGTTTCCAAGGAGCAGCTGGTGAGCTTGAACAACCAACTTTATACTTCAATTGACTTTGCAGTCTGACACATAGCCCACAGTGCCACATAAGTACAGGTAAATGTATATGAACTTTCTTAAGATTAAAGTACTTGTGAAATCCAATCAAATGCTAATATGCTGTAAAGGTGTAGAGATCACTGAAGTAATTTAGTGTAATTCAGAATTTGCAATACATAAATTAGGCTGTTCTGAACTTAAAGACTATATTTTCCATGATGTGACAAGGAAAATGAAAGACTATGCAAACATATAAGAACTTTCAGAAATATATGCATGTTGAACAAATACACATAGGCTTACTGGGAGTTGCTATCTGGCATTTAATTTCTTAATAAAAAATGTAAATTAACTGTTGTCAAAATAATAATGAATAGCAAATAAGGACTCAAACCCAATGGGGTAAAACCACATAATAAAAAGGATACAAAAAATAGCAACACCTGGTGGTGCTTTACAGCACCAATCAGCCCCACTAATGCAATCAGGAACAAGAAAATGCCCACTGCAATGACCACGCCAACCACTCGGAGACTAGAAATCAGCCCGAAGCCGATGCCCCACGCAGCTATTCCAATGAGCAGCAGGCTAACCAACTGCAAAAAAAAAAAAAAAGAAAGAAAGAAAGAAATCAAAATTAGGGGAGGAAAATGAGAGGATGCAATGTCAACTTAGAGCATTTAAAGAAAATTTTTCAAGTATATACTTAGTCATCTTGTAAGTAATTGTTGTTGTTAAAGTACTGTTGAGTCAGGTCTGACTCATAGCGAACTTATATAGGATTTCTGAGAAACAGCTGGTGGGTTTGAACTGCCGACTTTGTGGTTAGCCGTCCAGTGTTTATCCCACAGCACCACACCAAGAATGACAGCTTATACTAAATACCAGAATAGACACAAGATCTCAGTATATGGTATTTTAAAAATCATACTAATCTTCCTCATGCTTTGGTTTTGTGTTTTTTTTTAAATAATAATATACAAAATGTGGAGCCTCAGAGATCATCTGGCTTATTAAATGTAAACACATGCTACTTAAGCATTTTAAATGACAGCATATGTAGAACTTTTAGATGCCAAGATAGCTCAATCCAACACATTGGTGCCTTCACTCTTACATCACTTTTCTCGCCTTCAAAGTCCAGCTGGACTGCAATCTACTCTGAATGCCTGCCTCCTCAGCAGATTGAACAGACTGAACCGACTGAACCAATCCTTCTCTTCTCTGGGCAGCTTCAGTTCCTTGAATGTGGTTCTATTACTCCCCTCAGTGCACTCACATTGTTTTCAAGCGAGGCTCTCCTAGGAGGCTGTGAACAGCAACTTGAGCACAAGGACAAACATCTTTTCACCTCTCTGTGTCCCCAGAACCTATCACAAGACCTGGAACCTGGGGAACACTCAAAAACTGCTCACTGAATTGTTGCTGAAAGGAACTGTTTGCAATACCATTACCTACCCTATTTATTAATTTAAACATTAATATAAATGTAATCTATATTAATATTAATGCTATCCAGATGTCATCATTCTAATGCAAATATATACCATATTGTTGTGAAAATAGCAAGAGCCTTCTACTTTTACTTGCCAACTACTCTCTCCCCTAATAATTAATAATTACCTGGGAAGTATTCTTGTAAACAGGCTATGAGAGTTTAGGCTCTGTGTCAACTTCTCTGGGTCAGAATTCACAGTGGTTTGGCAGTTGGCATGCTTCCATTATACTGGATATTCACAGAAGGCTCCGGAGCTCTCTGCTGGATCTCGATTTTGCAATTGGCTCATCCTTCAGCCTCTGGTGATATGGACCTAGGCCACTGGCCTGCTCTATTGCCTGCCAACCCTGGAAATCATCAGCAGCCTGCCTCCTCACCTGCCGGACCTGCCTGCCTGCCTGCCATCTGACCTGCCGATCTTGGTTCATCAGCCCTGCAGCTAACGTAAGTCACAGGGCTCCAGCCTGACATCCAAGCCACAGACCTGGGAGCCACACTTCTACTGCTGTGTGAGCTTGGCTCTTTTTTACATGAACATATATAAGCATCACTTGTTTCACTTCTCTGGATTACCCAGCCTAAGACACAAGCTATGCTGGGTTTTTAAAAAAAAAAAAAGAATAAATGGCAACATGTAAAAAAAAGACTGAAATAGTGGCATTTCCAAAAATACCTCCCAAGGGGAATAGGGGTTGGTAATCAAACACAGGAGTATGTTATTTGTGTAAAAGCATGGTATGTGTATTAAAACTTTTAGCAAGTTACAAAGTACACAAAAGAATTGAGCTGTTTCAAGTGAAATGGCATTCTAAGTATATAAGGGGACTTCTGAAAGTTCAAGGCAAAATTCCACTATATTTAAATCCCATTTTTCCAGGAATTTTTTTAAGCCCCCTTGCATATATTTATATACATATTAAATAAAACCACATTAAGTGATACATGCCTCCCAAAACACCAATATGTATAAAATTCAGTTACAATTATAGTTTTAATACATAAATAAATAAGATGCTGTAATAAAGATTGTAATTAACTAATAGAAGATGTAGCTAAATTAAATATCAGTCAATTTCAAGTCTACGGAGACTCTTTTTTGCTTTTTTATAAACTGGTTTTATGGGAAGAGTTGAGGGGCTAGTGGCAGAGTATGAAGGACACAGTATCTTCAGTTGAGATCCAACCACTTTCTGGAGCAATTTCACAGTTGGGAGGGATCAGAATACACAAAACGCTTTCTAGCACCATTTAAAGGCCTGCTAACTTCATTTATAAATACAAGAATGGATCTTCATAAATAAAATTTATTTTTTCATACAAAATAATAGATGAACACTAGACTTCTAATCACAGGGTCAGTGATTCAAACCCACCAGTCGCTTCTTGGAAACTCTATAAGGGTTGCTCCAACTAGATGGCACTTTAACAATTAAAAAGAAACAAGACTTGAGAGTAAAAGAAATCATTCATAGTAAAATAGAGCCATGTTAATGGAGTTCTCTCTCCCACCCATCTGTCAGTTTGTTGTACTGTAGTTGTGGTGGCTTATGCATTGCTATGGTGCTTATGGTAACTGGTACCAACATTATCAATACTAGCAGGGTTATCCATTGTGGATAGGTTTCAGTGGAACATCCAGACTAAGAGAGACTAGGAAGAAAGGCATAGCCATCTACATGTGAAAACTTGATGGATCACAACTGAGTGTTGTTGAACACAGTTACTGTGGACACGATAACATGAAGGACCAATCACTAGGAAAGGACATCATATTTAGTGAAATACAGGGCCTAGTACATCATCACTGCGCTGAGTCACCTCATTGATTGAAGAGGCGAGTCTCTCTTCAGTCCATCTCAATCAGTGAGATGGACTGGCATGATGGCCTTAATCTTGTCAACAAACTTGAGAATGATGTGAGACTGGACAACACTAGTTCTGCTGTATGCAATGTCTGCTTGAACCACAGTCGATGTGAAGGGAGCCATGTATCCATCCATCTATGGTGTTATCTGTACATAGGATTCTCCACTGCAGTCAGTTCACACAGAGAGCTTTTGTTGGTGGAGACGGGACATCCACATAGACTTTGCGACCCAGAAATTTGTCTAGTCTTTCATTTTCTCAATTGCTCCTTATCAGCAGATCTATTTAACCTCTGTTTCATTTTTAAATTTTCACTTACCATCATCTTCTAACAACCTCAGACTATTTGAGATTGAGAAAAAGTCCCCTGTCTCTTCACAAGTTAGCTTATTTCTGACTTTGTGACATCCAAATGTCACACGGTTCCTTTCACAAGCTGGAAAAGTGGCAGCCTGAAGAAGGTGTAATGGAAGAAGACCTGGATATTGACGTATTTATAGCCTAAGAGCCAGACACAAAGATAGCCCACTAAACCAAGGGACAGAAAACTTTATCCTTAAAGTGTCAGATTGCAAATATTTTCGGCTTTGCAAGTCATTTGGCCTCTACAGCAACTAATCAACTCTGCTGTTCCAGAACAAAAGCAGTGATACACAAATGTAAACAAATGAGTATGGCTATGTGCCTATAACATTTTATCTATGGACATTGAGATTTAATTTTCATATGATTTTCATTTATCTTAGTCTTCCTTTGATTTTTTTTTTTTTTTTTTTTAACCATTTAACAATGTAATACCATTCTTAGGTTCTGGGTCATACAAAACCAAGCAGTGAGATGAATTTGCTTATGGACTATAGTTAGCTGACACCTTCTCCAGAAATCAGTGTAGGGGAGAACAAACATTTACAATACAGCCAATAATTGTTAAAGATTTTTAGGATGCATCAGATAAAAAACAATTATTTAGAAAATCAAATCATTAGATGAGACTGCAAAGAAACAACAAAGAAGTATGGTGGTGTTGTTGTTGTTGTTGTTGTTGTTGTTGTTGTTTGCCATCCAGTCAGTTCCAATCCATAGCGAACATGTATAGGTTTTCCAAGGAGAGGCTGGTGAGCTTGAACTGCCAACCTTGCGGTTCAAACTGACCTAGTAGTCCAGTGCATTAACCCACATTGCCACAGCAGGGCTTCTGCTAATATATATATATTCCCAGAGATACACTCACTTGCTAATCCCTGGATACTGTGTATTGCACCTTACATAGCAAAAGGGTGAACACGTATTATCTTAATGGCAAATGATGTGATTAAGTTAAGGATCTTGATAAGATAAGTATATCCCGGATTTTGTGGATGGGCCCTAAATGCCATTATAAGAAGCAAAGAGAAAGTAGCGAGAGACACACACAGAAGAAGATGTGAAGAGGAAGGCAGATATTGGGGTGATACAACAAGCCAGAGGACACCAAGGATGGCCACCAACCACTAGAATCTAGAAGAGGCAAGGATCACCTTCTCCCCAGAGCCACCAGAGGGAGGGCAGCCCTGTCAACACCTTCACTTCAGACTTCTCCTCTCCAGAACTGTGATTTGTTACAGCAGCCTTAGTAAACTAATACAGGGCATTACACACATGTGGAGTTTGACATGTCAGGAAGAGCTGATTGTTACAGAAAGCTGTCTGATGTCTTACCTCCAAGAGAATTCCTATCATGTAGCTGGAGTCAAGTGTTCAGGTATTCTTGTCAAAACCCTCCCAACAGAATTTCAGCAAAATTCTGAGCAGGTTTCTGCTCACTAAGCTGCCAATGCGAAGGTCCTTAGAATAATGAGAATCATTTCCCGTTTACAAAGTAATTTCTACCACTAAAGAGTAATGAGGTTGGCCCAGTATTGGGCAGTGTTTCGTTCTGCTGTGCATAAGGTCGCTATGGGTCAGTACCGACTCAATGGCACCTAACAACAGCAACAACAAAGAGAAAAAAATTTTAAATATTTTGTCACTTTTATAAGGAGTCCTAGTTCTCAGATTAGGCATTATGCTATTTTTGAAAACTGTTATGAGTTGAATGATCTCCCTGAAAATATTATATATATTCTGAGATCCTAAATCCCAATACTTGTGTTTGTAACCTTACTTGGAAACAAGGTCATTGCAGATTTAATTAAGGTAGCATGAGATCATACTGCAGTAGGCTGCGTCCTAATGCAACTCTATAACTGATGT